GCTAGGTCGCTGGGTCCAGGTCCAGACGCCTCAGCCCCCCCCCCCCCACACACACACGCGCGCACGCACACACTGCCACCAACAACGGCCTACACTCAAGCGACACACGGAAAGGAAAGGGTCGGGAAAAATAATTAATTAAACATTTTTTGGGGCGGGTGATACCCTACCCCGTTGCACTGTACTCACCTGCCGGCCTGCCGGGCTGGGCTTCGCCGGGATCCTCCAACGGGACGGCCGTGAGGCAGCATCTTCCGCGCGGACGCGAAGGCGGGCGACGGTATGGCGGTGTGTGTCGTCAGGGCGGCAGAGAAAGAGAGAAAGAAAAAACGCCCAAGACGATAGTCAGAGTTTTGATGTGTTTTTTTCGTGCAGGGGTCCAGGAGCATTGAGGCTGCTCGGGGGCGTTGCGGCTTCCTGTGCGCTTCCCATGACCCTGGACAAGAGGAAAGGCCGTTGGGGTTGGTTCAATCAGCCTCGCTTATTGCGAAATTGGAAACGAAAACGAGAACGAAAGGCCCATTCGCCGGGCGGGCCTTTCTCCCTCTCACCGCATGCGTCGCCCGGATGTCTCTGCTCCAGACAATGACTCCAGCCAAGATTCCAGCCAGACCTGAGGCAAGACTCCAGCCAAGACTCCAGCCAAGACTTCCACCAAATTTTCAGCGCAAAGGCCCCCACGCAAGTCCGAACTCAGCCGTGTCCGCTGCGGAAAGTTGGCAGCAAAAGACCCTGCCTGCCTGCGGGCCTTCCCTTCTCGTCCTTCCTTCTCCACACACGTCCCTGCGGGGGCCTCGGGGGGTACCTGCTGCTGGAGTACCCACACACTCACACACGCACACACACACGCGGACCGACGTGGGGGCGTGAGAAGGTTTACGCGTGGCAGAGGGGGCCCTGGAGCACGCCAGCGACTGCACCCAGGTACGCCATCAGGGGCCATCAGGCACCCAGGCCCGCTTCCCAATCAAAAATGAGTGTGTGCACACACACACACACACACACCGCTATGTAGAGCGCCGCCGGGACGTGCACAGGATGCCCACAGGACGCACTACTACTGCTGCATCCCCCTCGTAAAGGTGTGTGGGAAAATTATGAGGGTTGGAGGGAGGAGGGGGGGGGAGTGCGTCGCTATGCGTGCGCGCCGCGCCGTGCCGAGCAGCGTGGCAGCGTCCCGTCGCGAGGCTGGCGCGCTCGAGGCGCGCTCCAGACGCACGACGCCGACGCCTGGCCGACGCCTCTTGTTGCCGTCGCACGGCGGCCACCTCGAGGAAGCCTAGAGGAAGCCTAGAGGCCACCCCTTGCCTCCCGAGCTGAGAATCATTTCCATCGCAATGCTACGCAATAATGGTCCGCACCCTTTAAAGTTATGACAAAAAAAAAATGACAATCCATATTTGCATAAAAAGAACTTTTGGAAGTGAGATTTTGGCCCCATAGTTTAAAACAGACCCAACATCAAAATCGAGAAAAAGGCGGGAAATAACCAATTTATGATTATGCATTTGTAGCACTTAACCCTAACAAAAGTAAGCACGCTGTTGGTAATGAATCGCTTCTACTACTACTAGGGGATGCAAACCGATGTCGCGCGTGCAACACGGGGGGCACACTTGCTGCACTTTCGTCACACTGCAAGCGAGCAAGCGGGAAGCAAGTGTGTTGCATCAGTCTGCACGTTGCCACAGTGCGAGATTATTGAAATGAGATGGGGTGGTTGGCCGGCCCGATCGTCGGCAACCCTTCCTCCAGGCCTCCAGGCCTTCCGTCCGACTCTCAGATCGGAGACACACGGTTATTGTTTATTGATACGCCCGAAAAGAAGGGGCCCGTTGTTCATCGCTGTGTCTATTTGCATGGGCGGCACTGCACTCCGATTCCGAGAGTCGTTTTCGTCGCTCTGTCTCGCTCGCACTCGTCAGGCGACGTGTACAGGTGCGAGAGAGACAGGGCGACTCTCGGAATCGGACTGCAGTGTGTCTGTGGGTGTCCCCCCCCGTTATGTAACGGAAGGGCCGGTGGATCAGGTTCCACACCCCCGCACCCCCAGTGGGTCCCCCACCCTCCTCGGGCTCTGCTCCCTCCCTCGCTGCGTCCTTGCGTCGCCCAGACAAACGAGGACAAGGACTAGGTGGAGGCCAACACGGCCATTCAGTCAGGGGAAGTCGCACGCTAAATGTTCATTACTTTTATTGGCCATAACATTGCCATGTTTGTGCATATGTAAGCTAAGTAGAATTTTAAAAAATTCCAATGCTAATCGCATTGCAAGGTGTTCCCATTTTCATAACTGGTTTAAAAGTAAGTTATGAAATACCAATAAAAAGGCGTCCTGGTTTAGGAGCGGCATTGCAGCAAATTTTGTCGAAACGGGGCAGCTGGTCCCTGCGCTCCCGCTCGCCGTCGTGGTGTACGGTAGTACGGTGTTACGGTATGCCACGCCGCGCTCACGGACACGTCAGTGTGTTGGTGTGCTGCACACAGGCGCGTGGGGCTCGTCAATGATTCCCATTCATTTGACTCTCGACTACCGATGGGGAAGGAAGTGGAAACATCATGAGCTGCTTCCACCCCTCCTCCTCCTCTCCCCTCCTCTCCGCGCGCACCACCTGGCCGCTAGGCCGCTACACGACGTCCGGCCCGGCGCAGCCCGGCGGCCCAGGGGTGGGAAAAAAGAGGAGGGGGGGGGAGGGGTCCGTGGGAACTGCGTGGGAACCGAGGGGAGGGAGGATAGGGTGGCACCGAAATGCCAACACACTGACCACCACCGGCATGTCCGACCCCTCGACCGACCCCTCATGCTGCACATGGTCAGCATGCCAGCATGCCTGCAGACTGATTCCGAGAGTCGTTTTCGTCACTCTGTCTCTCTCGCACCCATACAGGACGACTAATGAGTGCGAGAGGGACAGAGCGACGAAAACGACTCTCGGAATCAGTCTGCAGATGTGAGATGTACTTGACCCTCCCAACTCAGAGAAACCCAATGGCCCAGTCTGCACCGGTACACACACACACACACGTACGCACGCACACACACACAGGAGTCCCCTGCGCCCTCAGCAAATAGGCCCTCGCACTCGGCCCCTCGGCCCGCGTGGCAGGAGTGAGGTGGGGAGCGTGGCGGCGCGCGACGGCAGTACGACGCGCAGGCAGGGAAGAACAGGAGCCTCCTTCCTTTTCCAGAATCTCCCACAGAGGATCCTTACCTTCCCAGATAAAGCCCACAGGTCGGGGCGGTCCCGACAAACCTTGTTTTGGGTGGGCGTCTCCCCATTTATTATTGGGTGTTTTTTAAGGGAAGAAAGGAAACGGGGCGAGGAGGAGGGAGGGGGGGGGGAGTGCTCGAGCGGAAGAAAATAAACCCAACGCTGCGCATGTCGATAAGCGTGCCAATAATTTAATTCATTTGGCTACTTATTCATCCGAAGATCGTTCTTGGTTGACTGATGAAATAATTTTGGGAACGCATTGGAATGTCTGTGGCCCAAGGGAGGAAAACGGCTCTCGGAATCAGTCTGCTAGCGCGAGGAAATTTCGAAATGGGCACTCCCACTCCTACTAAAGAGAGCGCCCAGCGGGTAGGCAACCCATCGTGCATCCAAGACGCGTGAGTTGCCTACCGTCCGGGCGCGTCTGCCGGAGCCGTGCGCCGGCCGTGCGGTGGGTCTCGGAGTCTTTTGGTGTCTAGCATGGAAAACATCCCAACACTCATGTTTTCAGTCTTCAGAAATCCCAGTAGCAAAGCTTGGGTCCTGCACCTCGACGTGGTGCTAAATTAGGTAAATTCCACAAGACGCCGCGTGTTGTCGCAAGGGACCCGAGCAAGGAGCCATTCTCCGTTTCTTCCCTCGGACTCCCCTCGGTTCGAGGCGGCGATTTCGGCAGAAAGATTGGGGATGGAGGAGCTAGCTGGCTAGGTCAGCGGTTCCCAACCTTGGGGTCGCGACCCCAAATGGGGTCGCGAAAAAATTTCGAGGGGTCGCGGCGAGGTGGCTGGGGTCGCCTGGGGTCGCGGTGTTTTCCCGGCTGGCCCACACGCCGAGCACTGGCTGCTTAAATGCCGCAAAGTTGATCAAAACGGTCACAAATGTCTGTAAAAGATCGTGTTTTGGGCCGACTTTAAGCATCCACTGCGTCTGATCCGAGGCGGTAAATCGTCCTCCCTCAACGGGCAATTGGTCTTTGGACCTTCCTTTTGCATGCCTTTGTTACGGAGTGTGATTATCTGCCTTAGTTTGGAAGCAGTACTGCCGCAAAGTTGGTCTAAACGGTCACAAATGTCTGTAAAAAAATCGTGTTTTGGGCCGACTTTAAGCATCCACTGCGTCTGATCCGAGGCGGTAAATCGTCCTACGTCAACGGGCAATTGGTCTTTAGACCTTACCTTAGCATGCCTTTGTTACGGAGTGCGATTATGTGCCTTAGTTTGGGAACAGTTTTGCCGCAAAGTTGATCAAAACGGTCACAAATGTCTGAAAAATCGTGTTTTGATCAACTTTGTGGCAAAACTGCTCCCAAACTAAGGCAGATAATCGCACTCCGTAACAAAGGCATGCAAAAGGAAGGTCCAAAGACCAATTGCCCGTTGAGGGAGGACGATTTACCGCCTCGGATCAGACGCAGTAGATGCTTAAAGTCGGCCCAAAACACGATTTTTTAAGACATTGGTGACCGTTTTGATCAACTTTGCGGCAATACTGCTCCCAAACTAAGGCAGATAATCGCACTCCATAACAAAGGCATGCTAAAGGAGGGGTCGCGTGGGGTCGCGAAATTTTTCCTGGGGGTCGCGGAAAGTTTTGGCTACAAATTTGGGGTCGCGAACCGCAAAAGGTTGGGAACCGCTGGGCTAGGTGAAGCTGGGGTTGAGGGAAGGTAAGGGGAAGTGAGGCGATAGGTGTGAGGCGCGGGGAAGGGGTGGAGGGGGAGGGTTGAAAGAAGGTAGTCCAAGGAGAGGGGGAAGGGGGCGGAGGCGGAGGCGGGAAGGGCACAGGGAGCGAGAGGGAGAGGGGCAGTAGAGAAGGCTGTGCAGATTATCCTTGCAAAGCATACGTGGCCGCACGATTTTCTTTAATGTTTGCCAAAGGAAAGGGGGCCTGAGTCGAATATTTCGAGCAGAACAAGGCAGCTTACACTTATACGCAAAGTAAGTCGAGAAAGAGAGAAAAGACAGTCTGTTCGCGCTCCGCTCACGGGATGTGGAGGACTGCCCTGATCCACTTTTGTGAAGTAGGCCAACTATTGGTTGAAAGGTTTCCTTCGGTTTGCTCGTGAAATAACCGAGCCCGGCAAATGTCTTTTGAAAGACCGCGCGCCCAATTTTTTTAACGTCATCTCGTCGGGCAGTGGCGCAAAATGCAAACGTCAGTCGTTTCCGTCGAGTTCCGTTTCGTCAACCGGCGACTGCGACGGGGGTTGTAGCCCGCTCTCTGTTTCCGTTGTTATTTATTTATCTTCGGAACAAGATGACTGAAAATTTCTTCACGGGCCTTTTCTTGATGGATCCCGTTTTTTGTTGAACGCTATCAGATATTTTTCTGTGGGAGGCATAAAAAGTATATAGTCTCAGGTAAGGAGTTGAAGGTTCTGGAATGGAAATGGTACAACTTGGTCAATAGCTTGTTTCCTGTTATATTTATTATTAATTATCAAGTACTTACCATCAGATAAATCTCCCACTCTTTCTGAATTTTCCTTGTACAGTTCTTTTGTGAATTGGTCTATTTTCGGAGGTCTGAACTATAACCTCTATGCAACCTAACAAAAGTAGCTGTCATTGTGGCTGCTTATTCTGCTTCATGGCATGACATTACTGATAATGTTCAGTTTGCCTGTACAAAAGTACATTCTTCATTACCTCCCTCTTAAATTGGTCCAATCTTACTTGTGCCTTCTCTGGTCTTGTTTCCTAATTCTATGGTTCAACAGGTTTTGAGGCTCATACATTCTTCTACTGGTTCTCGTTACAATTCTGTTTATTTTCTATGTTGGAGACGAAAAATGAATCGTGTATGCCTTGTGTGTTGGTGGAGGCGATAAAATTGCATTGATTAGTCTTTTATCATATTAACGCGTTGTCCAAGAAAATCTCTTTTGGTTTTGTACCTTGTCTGCCAACATTCAGTAGCGGATACTTGATTATAAATGGGAAAGAAAAAATAATATTTTCTTGTATTTCGGTATTTTTCTGCATGATGGTGGGTGGCTCTTATTAGTAATTTGTTTGCAGGATGACACTCGTCAGAAATATTCGACTCAGACAAAGGCCTGGTATGTTTAGACTCTTCTGTCTCTATTTTATATGGTACAAACAACTAGGCGCCCTTTTTAAAGTAGCAATCACTCTAAATTTCCAACTCAATTACTTCCTGCTATGTGTAGATGAACTGGCTGTAGGCTGTGAATTTATTCTTTTATGACAGGCGCTATGTTCCTCTTTCAAACTAGGACACTCATCAAAGCTTCATTTGTATCTTAATTTTTGAAATTTTTCTTTCCTTCCGTACTGTGTCCCTTCCTATTCATGATCTTTTTCTTGTGTAAATTTTGTAAAAAGTTAGACTCAATGATTACATATTTACGCTTCTATGTGAATACATTTTTTTCTGACAATGTTCTTCTTTCAATACGCTTTGCCAATTCCAACAATTATTTGTTCTAGATACTCTGGCAACCATGCCTGCCCCTGTTATGGTGCAGTCTGCCCCAGCTCAACCATCTGGCTTTGAGTCAGGAACAGGCAAGTTTCTGAAGCAATTCTCAATTTTGTGAATTGCAGTTATGATCTTTTTAGTCAATGTAATATTTACAAATAATTTTTTGATTTCCAACAGAAATCAAATCCATTGATGTCATTGAGCATGATGAAAATGGTGGAGCTGAGGCAACCATCAATAACTTATTGGCAAACAATAAAGAAAAGACACCGATGTGTCTGGTGAATGAACTGGCTCGGTACAACAAGGTACGATACACAGTGTTTTTCTTCTGGTAAGCTGGATTTTAAATATCAACAGAATTTTTCATTAGTCATTAAATGTGATTACAGATTCCACACCAATACCGGTTAACAAATGAACAAGGTCCAGCACATCGAAAGCAATTTACAGTAACACTGAAACTTGGTGAAGAAGAGTACACAGCAGAAGGAGCAAGTATTAAAAAGGCCCAGCATCAAGCTGCCAGCATTGCACTCTCCAAAACAAACTACAAACATCCCCCTTCCAAGCCTCGCACAAACATTCGTCTTGGAAAGAGTATGTAGAGAAGCACTTACTTCTTTAATAGTGCTGTGTTTCCGTTCTTACCTTGAATTTTTTTTTGTGTAGACAATATAACTCCCACAGTGGAGCTGAATGCCTGGGCCATGAAGCGAGGGGAGCTAGCCACTTATCAAATGATACCCAATGCAGTTCCTCAAATGGCTCATGGACACATGGGCCCTCCATGTCCACCAATGGGGCCAGGTGTCGGGCACATGCCTAACTACATGACGCCAGTAGGACCTCCACCTCCTCCATACAACAACTACTTCAGGCCAGCATATCCAGGCCAGGTACAAATCCCAAACCAAGACAAGTGGCACTTTTGTTCAATGAACAAATTTGTGGGATGATTTGTTCTGATTGGCCAAATTGTTGAATTAATTTTAATTTCAGGTGAGGCCCTCAAATCCGTGTGGAGAAATGGCTGCTTGGGGACATCCTCGGCCTCCCATGAATATGTACAGGCCACATCTGTCTAAATATGATCAGCAGGTAGGACAGGTGTGTCTTCACTGCAATATCTTCTGGACCTGTACTTTGTTTTCAGTGTAGTGCTTACTGTCTTGGTCTGTATCCTTCAGCGCTACTATGCGAAACCTTCAATATACCCAGGCGGGCATCCAACCTTCACTGTCATGGTTCGAGTAGGAGTTAGAGAATTTGTTGGGGAAGGAGCCACGGCCCAGTTAGCAAGACATGCAGCAGCTGCAAAGGCATTGAATGAAATTCGTCAGCTTCCTTTGCCTGATGAGAAGACTCCAGCTGTCTCTGAAAATGGTAATTTATCTTCACCCTGTACCGTAGGATTTTTCTTAGCATTTGCTTATTCTCAACCTCCTGTTTTCTTAGGCTCTTCTTCAAACAAGGAAGAATCGAACTCAGAAATTAAGTCACCTATTTCACTAGTGCATGAAGTTGCCTTACGGCGTAATCTTACGGTTAAATTTGAAGTAATTAGAGTCACTGGCCCACCACATATGCGGTCTTTTCACACTGTGTGTACAGTAGGCGAGTTCTCAACTGAGGGAATTGGTAATGGAAAAAAGGTGAGAATTGTAGAATGTATTTCTTTCTTTTTCCACTGTGCAGTACTCTTGTGGAAACATAAAATGAGATGTGTGTTTTTTTTTGTTGTTTTTGTAGCTGTCTAAAAAGAGAGCATCTGAGAAAATGCTGGAGGAATTGAAAAAGCTTCCACCTGAGTCACCTTGTGTTGTCTCTGCAGCTGCAACTGCTAATGCCAAAATTAAGCGAAAGCCAACACAGAAGAAAAAGTCAAGGAATCTTATTAAGGTATAAATACTTCTGGACCATGGAGTCAAAGGAGTAGAAGCATGCATCTAAATTAAATTAATACTATTGCCTTTCTCCATTTAAAAAAAATAATTGTCGTTTTTGTGTAGGAACCTAAGCCAGCATCCCCAGTGGAGAGCCCAACTCATGTTGCTGCTACTGCAGCACCTGAGAAAGAAGACATGAATCCAATCTCACGTTTGATTCAGATACAGCAAGCTAAAAAGGAACAGGAGCCTCTTTATACCCTGGAAGAGGAGAAAGGTGCCCCTCGACGTAGAGAATTTGTTATGTCTGTAAGTATAATAGTCCAAAATTTTTGTCATGAGGGGTAGTCTGTGAGACATGTACTTGGGCGCTTATCTGATTGCAACTTTTTCTCAGGTGAAAGTTGGAGAGCTTGTCTGTAAAGGCACAGGGCCAAATAAGAAGCTAGCCAAGCGAGCTGCTGCAGACGCAATGCTACTCGAACTAGGATACAGCAGGCCCCCACCTGGAACTACTTTAGGAACAACTAAGCCTTCCAATGGGAAGGAGTTACGAAAGGTATGTGCACCCCACTATCACCCCACAGTCACACACAAGATGAATTGCTTCACCAAACTACTCTGAACCTATGTTTACTACAGCCAATGGATACACCACCAGTTGGAGGGACTGCTGGCAGACAACTTGTCCCTGGTCTCTTACTTGTGCCTGATGCTAGTTACAGCCCCCCTATCAAGGGCACAGGTTTGTTAAACCTTCTTTCTGTGTGTGTTGTTCTACTTCCCTTTCATGGTAAAACAAGTCCCTTCCTTTTGTTGAACAGTTATTTCTCCAGCTACTTCATCTATTGCTAAAGAATTACTTCAGACTGGTAAAAATAGTGCTGATCCTCAGTCATCACAGAGCACTGCTGTTGTTAGTCCCAAGGATCAGCTTTTATACCTAGCCCAATTATTGCAGTTTAAAGTTCAATTCTCAGACTTTCCTAAGGTAAGAAAAGTTCACTTCATCAACTTAAAAGAAATTTGAAAACAGCTGTTTGAAATTTTATCTTCTTTCAGGGCAATCACAGTGAATATCTTAGCTTGGTCACTCTGTCCACTTGTCCCCCTCATGTTTGCCATGGTGCAGGACATACTGTTGAGGCATCTCATGACCAGGTACACCCCAAATTTCAAATGTGCATTACTTTGGTCCACTGCTCTCTTAAAATACAGCATTTCTTCTTTGTTTTTTTTCTAAGGCTGCATATACAGCATTACAAATGCTCGCCGAAATGGGACTAGATATGTTTTCAAACAAGAAAGAGGCAACTCCTAGTAACAATTCGTCTTCAAGTGGGACAGAGGGGTAAGCCCAATGTAAAATTCGAGTTTACTGGAAAGAGGTAACATTTTTAAATTAATTCTATTGTCTTCCAGATCTGCCCCTTCATCTTAAGACTTCAGTGCTGTGAAAATTCAAGTGGCAAAAGAAAAATTAACAAGGAAAATGAAGCTGAATAGTTGTAAATAACTTGAAGAAACTGTGAATATTCTAAATGTATTTTCACAAAATGTCCTAGATGCAGGTCGCGGCCACCCTGCATCTGGGTCTTATTTTTGTGAAGTACTTTTTTCATACATATTTTTATTGTATTTCTGAATGCCTTACTCAAGAGTTAAGCATAAAAATCTTATCTCCTGTGTTGCTTCACAAGCCAGAAGTGAAGGAATTCCCTTTCATAATTTTGTTTAGGAGTGGGATAAAGACATTTTATCTGATTATTTTTGACATTGGATGTGCTCTTTTGCTGCCCACATATGCTTCAGTTTTGGGAGCTGCTGAACTTATTATGACTATATTTTTATTCCTTAATGACTTAAGACTTAATAACTAAGATTTTAAAATGTTCATTGTAAAGTGTATGATTCTATTGCAATGCATAATTCTGTATTTTAAAAAGAAGTTGACCTCTGGTTTTAACGTTGACTTATAGCTTTTGAAAATGCTTATTCTATATGTGATTTTATTGATTTATTGTAAGTAGCGTGTCTCTTGGAGATATGAAGATGAACTTTATTTATTCAGATTGAGTCTCAAGTTTGGCAGCAACAAAGGTGTGGTTTACTTGTACGGTATGAATGTAATGTGGGTGTCCCATTTTTCATACATGTACTGTGTGTTCAGTGTTGTTTGGCACTGCCAAAGTGATATAACTTTGTTATTTTTGACAGAACAATTGATATGATCAATGACTATTCAGTGGGAGTCAGCATTTTGTCAACCAAAGAATTTGATGCCTTACATTTTGTATTGTATCAACTATGTCTATGTATTGTTTTTTTTTTTTCTTCGAATTCCTAATCAAGGGAACGAAAGATCAGAAAGTATCGTTATTTGTGCTAAGTCTTTATTTCTAATTTCTTTGAGTAAACAAAACTTATCTCACGAGCTTCCCATAGATGCTATGATTAGTTTTGATGTGTCTATTTTGTCCTCTGTTTTATGGATTGCTTTTCTGGTTTAACTGTCCTATTTTTTGTAGCGTTATTCATTCCTAAGTGCCTAGATCTGTTAAACCTTGTATTGTACTATGTGTACAGAAATTTGAGTCTTAGAAAAGTGTTACTTTAAAAGGGGGAAAAAAAAAGAAACTGCACTCACTTTTAACATTTTTATTTCTTTGTGAAGTAAGATTATAATCTCTGATAATTTATTGGCTGTTTGAATGAAATGGGTTTTTATTCTATTTATACTTACTATGAAAGTAAGATTTGACCACAACTGTTTTCTTTTGTTTTGTCCTACCAAATAATGTATTGTGATGGTTTTGTTTTAACACAACCCTCCCCACGTTAAGTGATGGATTGAATATGGCAACTTTCATGTTGGAATGAACGTCTAAGCAAAGTATGTGTAATTTTGGGACATGGAGGTGTCATATCCTTTCCCATGCCTCACTATTGAATGTTGCATCTATTTTCATGTGATTTCTCCATTTATGGCCATCAACAGTCTTTTTTTCTTCCACAATAAATTATAAGATAGCATCTCATTGTGATTAGGTTTATCTAGTTCCAGCTAGCCAGTCAAACTGGTTTCTCTGGCAGTCAATTTTTTTTCCTTATTTTTACAAATAAAACTGTTTAAACTTTACTAGGTTGTCTTTATTTAGAACCAGTCACTGTGATTGAGCTGATGCATTCAAGCTGTCATGGCTTATGGACAATCGTTTCTGAGCCCCAGGAGAAGTACTGGATTCTTGCCAGTTTCCCTTCAGTGCCCTCACTTTTGTAGAACTTTCAGCAATGCTGTGCAGAAAATACAAATCAGCAACAGAGCATAGGCGCAACATGGAACAATTTCTGTTGCGATCCTTGTCTGCACCTTTGTTTCAGGGCTGCCACTTCAGCCTCTAGCACACGATTCTGCATTTCAAATTGGGATTCCCTCCACTTTTTACTCTGCGTCACCTGTCGTTGTATTCCCTGAAGCTCCTCCATCAAGGCCTGTAGCTGAGCCTGCTCAGCCTTCGTCAAATTGATGACACATTACACAACTGGAGACCTCGTGTCGTTGGGCCCGCACCCACAAGACTGATCCGCTTGGCAGTGTAGGCCACTGACGCGCACCCACCTGCATCTGCCTGCTCTGGAGATTGAGCCAATGCTCCATTTCGGCCGTTATCTCCTCGGCCGAGCGAACGTCACTGCCAAGGCGTCCCTCGGCTTCCACAATCTTCGTGCGGAGTTCACAGTTCCCGGTTAGCGCCGAAAGGAACGAAAGGACTCTGGGAATCAGTCGGCAGTCTTACCTCGTGCCAGTAATCCGCGCGGCGGTTTGCCCGCGGCCCCCACTCCTCGTCCTCTTCGTCCACGACGGCGGCCTGCATGGGCGTCCCCGCGCCCGAGGTTCTGGCCGTCCTGGCCACCGTCTGCTCGGCGGCGAGGCGAGCCGACCACTCGGCCAGCTCCTCGGCCACCACGGCGTGCAGCAGGGCGCCCCCGTCCAGGGTGTGCGGGCACAGCCTGGTCAGCAGCAGCCACAGCGGCGCCTACGACAGGGCCTTCCCTGTATCCGGGAGTCGCTGAAGCCCGAAACGCGTCTCGAGTTTTGGCCGCCGGCGCCGGTCTTCCGGCCCGCTGTGCGTCCACTGTTCGGAGCGGTATTTCGAGCTCACGTCCTGGGCCAGGTCCTCCAGCTGAGCCACAATGTCACGTTCGCATTTCGGGTCGACGGCGGCCTCCCTCCTGGGGCTGCCCGTTGCCCTGCGCAAGCCGCGACGATTAGTACTGCTGCATGCCGCTGGATGTCTCACCCGGGCGGTGAGGGTGCGCGAGAGAGGCGGTGACTAAGTTTTCGGCGTGGGGTACCCGTCGTGCTGGGGCCGTCCGCGCCCCGCCGTGCTGCGCAGGGCGAGGCTGGTGTCGAGGCTGTAGTCCTTGTGTCCAGCCGGGGCCGTGCCCGCCCTGGAGCCCCTGGATCTCTGCGAGTTGGACGACACGAGATCGATTGGTGAGGCGACCTGTCGTCGCGGTCCCCCGCGGGTCCCATCGGACCTCGCCTAGCTACGCCGCTACGCCCAGTAGCACCGCAGCCAATGGGGCCTGTGGGAAGCGCACCTGGTCCAAGCTGTCGTCGGCGAAGGACCCGAAGGGCAAGCTGAGGGAGTCCGCGACGGCGCCCGACCCGAACTGCAACGGAAGGGCTCCACCATGCTGCAGACTTCTTTCGAGAGTGGCTTTCGTCGCTCTGTCTCTCGCTCTCATGGGTGCGAGAGAGACGCACTCTCTGCCCGCCACTCACAAGCACTTCCTTGAGGTCGGGCAGCGCGTCCTCGGGGGGTGGCTGCGAGAAGGGGAAGCGCAGCTGCGCCCTCTCCAGCTGGTAGGCGAGGTAGCGCGCGTAGTCCAGGCCCCTCTGCACGTCCTGGTCGTTCCCCGCGCCCGCCGCCACCAGCCGCTGCACCCAGCTCTGCAGCAACCCCTGGCCTGGAACGCATCACAGAGTGCCAGAAGACCGGCGCAGTCGGCCAGAACTCAGTCCCGCGTGGGTACGAGAGAGACAGAGAGACTCTCCGGAATCACTCGGTAGACCAAACTCCAGGTCTTCACCTTCCAGGCCGATGAGGGGCGAGTACTTGTAGATGTCGTGCATGGCCTTCTGGAACTCGTCGAGTGACGACATCTCGCGTCGCTGCGTCCTTCCTCTAGTTGGCGATCGTCTCTATTTCCTCGCGTAACTTTCGCGCCAAACGCAACAATGCGAAAGAGGCCGGGTGGCTTGGGTCGCCTCCACCGGTGTTGCGCTTGCGCCCCAACTTGGCCAACTTGACCCGCGAAACATTGGCCAGGGTTTTCTGCAGTGGCTCTGTGCCATCAGCCGAGCGGCGGGCTGCCACCGGGCTTCTCCGCAACCAATCGGCCTCGTCGCACAGTGGGCTAGGAGACCAGTGGAGGCGGCCAAAATTCTAGACGCGTTTCGAGCTGCAGAGTCACTGGCTCGAGTTTTGGCAGCCTCCAGCCTCCACTGGCTGGCCCACTGTGCGTCGTTTAGGCCCGCCCCCCTGTTTACACTTCACACGGCCAGAGACGGAGACCGAGTAATCGACTAGTGTCATCTGGATCTAGCGGCAGTGGCTTTCTGCTTGTGGCTTTCGTCGTGTCGCTCGCGGGTGCTCGCGGGCACCTATTGGGAAAGGGGAAGGGGACGACCCGCTGCCGGCCAAGCATATTCCGAACAGCGTTGCGCCGTCTGTCTTTGTCTTGCCGAACGCCTCGTGTGGTGTGTGCGAGAGAGACAGAGCGACCAAAGCACTGTTCGGATTCAGCCTGATGTGCGGTCGCGGTCTCGTGGACACAAGGCGAACCCGTTTCTCGAAATGTGTGCCGTTTGTTTGTATGGTGATTCTGCAAAACTGAGTTAATGCCGTGCGATCATTCAACAGGGAATGACCATCCATCCCCTTGTAAGAACTCCATCTTGCTTCATGGCTGTTGGAACAAATAACTCATGGACATAAATTTGTACAATATTTTAATGGTGAATTAACAGTTATGAACAAAAGACAAAAGGATTGTTAACCGGTATTTAATCTATGTATCTATCATCAGGGCGTCTACTTTGTTTATCAAAAGATCTCATCCTTTTCTTCTTCAAACGTTCTCTATTTGCAGCTTCCTGCCTGAAAAAAAACGAAGCATTTTACATTTATGTGGAAGTAAAAACAAATAAATAAATAAACAATAAACACATAAATGATAAAACTTACTGTTTTAATTGTAGTATTTTGTCTTCTTCACTCAGTTCTACGACCTCTGGTCCTTCAGATTTCCAAATAATGTCCCTAAGCTTCTCCATACAGTTAGCTATGTTTAATTGCTTTGATCTTGTTCTGTCTGAAGTGACAAACAAGTAGCCGTCGGATGTAATACGTGACTGAAACTGCAAAAAGAGATCATCATGATATCATCAAAAACAGATGATCTACTAAAATACAATACTTGCACTAAGATTGAAAAGCAGGATAAAACTTACTTGGCTCTTGATCTTTTCTCTCAATTCAGGCTCGAGCCATTCTGCATCATCAATTCGGAAGCGGACATCGACTTTGGAACTAACTTTGTTGGCATGTTGCCCTCCTGGTCCACTGCTTCTTGATGCAGTGATCTTCAGTTTTTCTGTTAGTATGAGAAAATTATACTAATTATGAATCTGATCGCACAACTTGTAGTTATTCATTGCAACTAAAATTTAGTTACCTATTGGTATGAAACCACTAAATCGCTGTCCTTCCTTTGGAGGAATCTGTGAAAATATTGATAGTTTAGAAGTGGCATGTACAAAATTTTCCAGGATACAGGCACTTTTAAGAGGAATTAATTAAAAAAGAACATCACGATATTATTACCTGTGAAACGGACGGTGTTTTTATAGCAAGATTGCTTGTTGGATACAAACTTTTGAGAGAGATCGAACTCTCAAAAGACATGCAACGGTAGACATTCAAACATTTTCCAGAGTGCCAAAGTTGGTTCTGTAAGAAGCGGAAACACCGCAAACTAGTGTTCATTTTGGAAAATAAAATTCAACGCAATCTCGCCTGAAAATTCAGCAGTACATGTCTCTAGCAGACGCTGCGATACATAACCTAAAATAGGCCGCCGCCTTCTCCAACACAAACGGCAGCAGCACGTGCCAACACAACCGACACAACACTCCACGAGCCAAGAAGTGGCAATCGAACTATCAAACGAAGAAAAACTCTGAACAAAGACATAAAAAGTCAATGGCTAGAACAATGCTTATCTGCAGAAAGCCTAGGAGAGATGTCTAACCGCGGAAAAAGACGGACGGAATAGTTTATTCAGTTCATCATGTTTCCCAGCCTGGCATGCAGGGCGCGCATTGACCGCTCTGTTCAACGGTGAGCACCGAGCGCGCCCGTGCGGGACGCCCAACGGGTGCAACAGAGACAGAGCGACGGAAGGACCGGCGCCGGCGGCCGAAACTCTAGACGCGTTTTGAGCTCCAGAGTAACAGGGCTCCAACCGAACGTGTGACCCACCAATGGGTACCTTGTTCGGAGAGCAATCCATTGGTGGGGGTCACACGTTCGTTTGGAGCCTCTGGAGCTCGAAACGCGTCCGGTATTTTAGCCGCCTCCACCAGCCACCGGTCTTCTGGCACACTTTACAGCGGCGCGGCCGTGGCCGCCCGGAGCCCTTCTTGGCCCTACACACGTGGAACCCTATCCCGGGCCGTCCTGGGGCCGAGCTGGGGCCGTCCTGGTTCCTGGCGACGTTGTCGGGATGTCGCCGCCCCGCAACGCGTCGCTCTTGAGTAACGTCGCGACCGATCGTGGCAATAAGGCGTGGCTGGCGTGGGGTCGTGTCGGGTCGGGGTGTGGCGCGGCACGGCACGGCACGGTCGCCCAGTCTGCTCCTGCTTTGCTGCTTTCTCCTGCTCATGTCAGCCCGATGCTGTCGACCGTGCCCGCCTGCTATACTGACATCACCGCGCGTGCGTGCGTGTGTGTGTGTGTGTTTGAGTGTGTGCGCATGTGTGCGTGCGTGTGTGTGTTTTTATCCTGGCCGCTTCGCTCGGCCCCTCCGGCCCATTATTTGACGCCTGATTGCATTCGCGCCTTGCATCGGCTCAGGCAGGGCGTCTCGAGGCGTCTCTGTCTCTCCCGGTGCGTCTCATGGCGTCGCATGGCGTCTCTCTCATGGCGTCGCATGGCGTCTCTCTCATGGCGTCGCCCTGCGTCCCATTAGGAGCAGCGCGCGTCGTTAAATAACTTAACCTCATTGTCGATTGTGTGTGTGTTGTGCGCTACTCTCGCGCGCCACCTGTTGCGTCCGCGCGCTTGTATGTGTGTGCGTGTGTGTATGTGTGTCTGTCTGTCTGTGTGTGCGTAGTGCGGCGGAAGCGATAACTCGCCGGCCCCTTTCCCTACCGCCGCGTAGCCATGGCGTGGCCGCGTGCTTGCAATTAACTAGGGCGCGAACCGTTTGCTCGATTTGTGGATTCTCCAGTCTGCGGCTCCGGCGGCTGGAGTCGGTCTGGCGGCGGACTCTACCCGGCGGCTGCTCCCCCAGCGTGGCTCCAGCAGACTGGGGGTCGTTTTCGTCGGCCTGTCTCTCTCGCACCCACACTGGACGCCCCATGAGGGCGAGAGGGACAAAGCGACGAAAACGAGTCTCGGAATCGGTCTGCAGCCAGACCGACGCGGCCCGGGTCCCTGGTGGACCCTGCCACCTTCCTTACGTAACGTGTTTACACGGGTTCGGTGCGCCCGGTCCGGGCCCCGCGCCCCGCCAGCCTCGCCGGCGGGTACCCAGTACTGGCAGTGCGTCGCGGTGCGTCGCGGATCCAGGGGCGGCCTAGGGGGGGGGGGCAAAGTAGCTCTTTTTGCCTACCTTTCAGGCGGCTCCAGGGGCTGATGTGGGAGGGGGCAAAAACCCCATTGCCCCCCCCCCTTATCCACGCCTGCTGGTCGAACACGTCGTCTCCGTTTGTCTCCGCCTCTCGGTTTGGCAGCCTCGCAGCCATTAGCCACTTAGCGCCTCGGTAATGGCATTCGAACGCAATCTCGGGGCTGTGGCTCCAACCGCGCTTTCTGTCTCTCTCGCACTCGTTGGCTGGTCCGTGCGGGTGCGAGAGAGACGGAGTGACCATTCGGAGTCAGACTGCAGCAGCGAGGCGCCGCACTCAGAATGACTGTAACCGAGCGAAATGGTCTCATTTTCCCAGCGCGACGATTCTGCAGCAGTAAGTGTTGCAGTGCCTTGCCTTCTGCGTCGCTATTGTCTCTCTCGCACACCTCCGGGACGCCCCATGAGTGCGCGAGAGACAGAGCGACGAGAGGGGGCACCGTTCGGATTCAGCCGGCACACTGTGCGGCAGGACAGCGAGCCAGTCATAGACACGCAGCGCTCATGCTGGCTCGTGCAGCGAGCCTGCCGCAGTCTGCCGGGGAGAAGTGGGTAACGATCCGATCCGGGTGCGAGGCGAGTACCCAGACTACCCGTAGGCGCGCGCCGTAGGCATCACCCGCTGTGTACCGGTTGTGTCGACACTCTGCCTCTCCCCTCCACCGCGCGCCACGCCCGCCACACGCCCAGGGCCCGAGGCCCAGAGGGGCCCAGGGGCCGGCTCGCACCGCCGCCAGCCACATTATTCCACCGGATTTGATTTCAGGATTTGTTTCTGTCTCTCTCTTTCTCCCTCTGGTGCCGGATTAGCAAATTTCCACGACGTCGCGTTGATGACCGGCCTTTTCTTCTTTTAATTAGTGACCTCGTGCTTTCTGCAAGGCAGTGCAAGGCCCCCTCGCCGCCGAGCCACGCCTAGAAGTTGGGGGAAAGACCACAAATTAGAGTCCCCGGGCCCTGAGAGCTCAACGAAATGAGCCCAAGGAGAACCTCGCGCCGACCACCGCGCGCAACCGCGGGATTTCCAAGAGTTATCAACCACCCGGATGCGGCGCCCCCTCGCCCCTCGTCGGCCCGTTACTTTTGCTACCCACTCCCCCCAGGGGGCCACCCCACCCAGCCAAGGAGCCCCCTTCCCCCTGCGGCGCAGTGGGAGGGGGAACCGGGTAGGACTGGATGGATACGGGTACCCGGTTGTGATGAAAGCGGGCCGGGTCGGCGCGGGGTGGGGGCGGCGGAGGGGTTGGCGGCGGCGCGAGCAACCGGTTGGAACCGGATTTTCGCCGTGCGCGTTGCGCGTTGCGCCACCATCCTTGTTTGTCAGTGTGCCAGCACGGCCAGGACGAGCGACTGTTTCGACACGCCTGATACCAAAACAATTTCAATGATGAACGAAGGCGGCGACGGCTGTTTCGGTGGAAGACCACGGTCGGTCAGCAAATGTCCCTCGTCTCGCTCGCACTCGGAGAGCAATCCGTTGGTATACTGTAGAGGTATCTAGTATAGAGCCGTATATGCTTTTATATGAGCATCGCTTTTTTCAGGCTCCTGGTGAGTGTATGTTTGTTGTTGTTTGTTTTTTTGTTTGCATGCTTCGAAACTGGCGGCGCGTTGTTGCGCGACGCATCCGCGGCCATCTTTCATTCAACGGACTGCAGCGGCAAGATTTCCCCTCGGAGCGAAGAATGCGCCGGGGAGTGAATGCGATACAGTGCGCCAGTCCACGACTCCGGTCCTAATGCCATCCTTATCGCGCCGTCTCCCTTTCTCGTCTGTCTGCATCAAAATCAAATCCCTGCAGCGCCGATTTCTCATCCCCCGCGTCGTGAACGTCATGTCGCCCATCACGCCGGACGAGCAGCAGACTGATTCCGAGAGTCGTTTTCATCGTGGTGTCTCTCTCGCACTCATGGAGCGTCCCGTACAGGTGCGAGAGAGACTCGAAAAATCAAAGACAAAGCCAACTGTCCAAGTTTTGAACAATGCAAACAGGCAACACGTGCGACAGACAAACTTCCCCGAAAAGGAAATTTTATACTCCATTGCGGTGAACCTCAAGAGCAAGCGGGCCAAAGACGCGCGCTCGACGACCGCAGCTGCCACCGCCACCACCGCGACCATGGACATCACCACCACCGCGGGGTGCTCCGTGCTCCGGAGGCCGAACGGGCAGGGCGGCAGGGCGGCGCGGGGCGGCGGGCGCGGCCTTCACACATCGCGGTGGCCACCCCTTCCCCACCCCGCAGCTGCACGACCGCAACACTGCCATCGTGAAAGTGCCCCGCCGGCGGAAGGGGAGGGGGAAGGGGGCGTCATGCGTGGATGTGGCGGTGGCGGCCTTCCGGGGGCGTGCCCGCGTGGCTGGCTGCCGGCAAGCCGGGGTGACGGTCACCAAGCACCAGAGCGTGCAGCAGACTGATTCCGTGCCCCGCTCTCGTCGCTCTGTCTTTCTCGCTCTCGTGGGGCGTCCCGCAAGGATGCAGCATGGCCTGCAGCATGGCCTGCAGGGCGACGCGGCCGCCGTGTGCGCGACTCATCGGCAGTGTGTCAGTGCGGCGTGCGCCGGGGAGCTGGGGAAGTAGAGCGTGGCGGAGGACGGCCGTCCTGCACGGCGTGCGCGTGGTGCGTCGGGCTGGTCGGTCCGGGCCGCGTGTTGCGTTGCATCCAGCCGCCGCGGTCCAACGGCAGGGCAGACCGCCAGTCCGTCGCGTCGCGGAGGCTGGCAGAGGGATGGCCCAGGATGGCCGAATCGTTCCATCGCCGCCAGATCTAAGGACGTCACCGGTCGGCCCGGGCGGCCCGGTCGGCCCCTCCCCCAGCGAGGCCCCGACAATGGGCGCGCTGGGGGAAGTGCACGGGTTGGCACACGGCGTGACTCGACGTCGGCGTCCACGGCGTCCGCGACGTCCGCGACGGCAGGGTGCTGGGCGCGTTGTGGAGGCGCCGCAGTCGTGACGCGCCTCGCCTCCGCCACCAGGAAATTGGCCGCCGCCAATACAGCCTCTGCGGCCATGCCGGCGATGCCATCCTCCGCGGCGATTTCTCATAGAAAGAGTGTGATTGGGCGATATTTCATCGAGCGCCGCCAAGCCCGCCCCGCCCCGCCCCGCCCCGCCCCGCCCGGCCCACGACGAGATGACTGTCCCCGTCGCTCCCCCGCGGGCCGGCGGCCGGGCCGGCGACGACGGCGCGGCTTTCCACGTGTTGCTGCTGCTGCGTCTCTGGAAAAGAGGAA